AAAACTTTTAATGATGATGACGCTGTAAAATCTCACTTAATTCAGTTCTACGTGCGAGGAATTTTCAAGTTGTCAGAAAGATGGCAAAAGGTCATCGAACAAAATGGAAAATACATTACAGATTAAACTTCATTCTAAGTAAAAAAAATTTATTTTATTGAACAAATCGGCAATTACTTAGTTGCCAACCCAATACTAACGGGCCGACCGACCGATTTGTCTGAAACTCGGCTATTTGCCAGTGAGGCTACCGTGAGCAAACCATCTTCCGCCGTTATCGACGCTAGCGGAACACTCCGCCGTCACTGCGGGGCCAACCATACACCCAAAATTTTACGAACCAATTTGTTGTTGTCGCGACAAGTGCTAAATCGGTAACGGCACGCATTCACGCACACTCACACACACGGCAGTTAGGAACCGCTGTTCCTAATCGCTATTCCTTCCCGGCATTATTTTAAGGTAATTAAGTTTTCAAACATGATAAACAAAAATTATATTATCCAGTGCTGTAGAAGTACAATGTCGGACAAAGATCATCGCAATTTTCTTATCATGTTAGAGCAAAACGGTGTTATACGATACCCCGTTATAGAAGGGCTACGTGCATATGGTTAAAAGAACACTAAGTGAACTTGGAGGCCCCGTAGAACACACACACACACAAGGTTCACACCTTACCGCGTTTTTACAAAATTTCTGATGTGTCATAAATATGAGAAAATTAAATTATCATTCTACTTCATCCACGATTTCCGGGTATAGACTACCGCATCAATATTTTTACGCTTCAAAACAGCATTCGGTAATACCAAAAAATCAAATACAAAATCATATTTTGTAACCGCAACGTAGAAATGCCCGATGGGCATCGGGCAAAGTTGCGGGCGAAGGGCAAAGCTGCGAGGCAAAGCTACGGGCAAGTGTCTTAGCGAAGTGGGGACGTGAGAAAAAAAGAGGGAAGTGTTTAGGTTTTCATGCTATTCTTCCTGTATCACTCGCATGCATTGCCATTATATGCTCATTCGTACGACGTCATTCTATTTTACTCAATTTCGATGTTATCTACGGTTGACCATTGTCAATATCTTCAGCCAATAATGTAAAATGTAGTTAAGTGGAGAGGAGTCCCACGAGAAAATAAGGAAGGGACATGAATGCCCAAGGAAGTGGGTACTGTAGACCGCCGATCGGTGTTTGCCTTGGACTTAAAATCGCTGCCCTCACGGGCATGTAGTTAAACAGGCCTGCTATAGTGCGCCGATCAAGATGTTAGTAGGAGGTTGGCTCAGAGCTCTTAGGATAGGGGCTGTCCTCCTGTTTGTGGCGCGCATCGGCCTTTTATTGGAACTACTGATCGTGCTATTCAGACCAGACATAGTAGATCATGAATCTAGAGTGAGACCCGTGTCGCCGTTCAATTTGTAAAATGAGTACCAATCGGCTGTCAGAGAATGGAAAGTGGACGGTGCTCCTGGTGGAAGCTGGGCCGGATGAACCGGAAATCTTTGATGTGCCTGCAGCGTATGCGCTTTTGCAATTGTCACCTCGGAACTGACCATTCAAAACTGCACCGTCGGAGAACTATTGTCAGGCAATGAATAAGCTTCAGTGCAACTGGGCGCGTGGCAAGGTGAAATTTTTGATATAGTAATGCCCATGTTCAAGGCTTATGAAATTCTGTTTTATTTTGTTAAAATATTAAGATGTGAGTGCAACTCAATTTTGATAAATCACACTTTTATTGAGAAAATAAGTGCAAGTAGTTCGTGAATCCATTTTTGAGTGACACGGATGACTCACAAATTCATTTTAACGATAAGAAGATATCGAGATCTAAAATTATTTCCGATTACATTGTAATTTTTCACAGTGACGTCACTGACGGCAAATCGCTTCATTGTGCTGTTAATATCAACTATTTTGATGAAAATTAAGAATTGTACTTTGTGATATATACAGAATGAGGTAGCGTTCAAGACTTTAATTAACGAGGGTACCATTCGCTTGAAAAATAGAGCTATACATAACGTATGCATTGTCAAACGATTCTTGTGGAAACAAATGTCTCTTGAAAAATTGTATCTCAGATAATATTTGTTAGGTATAGTTGGTTCTTTCATATTTTAATCATGAAGTTTTTGCTAATTATAGAGATTTTATATCCAATCGAAAAATCGATCCTATAGTACTGATAACTACAATCAAATTCATGTAGTGTCTTGATTTCAAATTTCTCTAGATTAGTAATTTAGATTAGTAATTTAGCATTAGTAATTTAGATTAGTAAATTAGTAATTTAGGCCTACGGGGTCTAACCTACAGTCCCGAGAACAGGTGCCTGACAGACCAATAAAATAAACCGACCCGCTATAACTACCTTTTTATACCGTTTACTTTACCGGTTAATACCGGTAAAGTAAAAAATAAGGTAAATAGTTTTTTCTATTACTGCACCTTAACACGTTCCGTGCCACGTGTACCATCGATGGTACACGCTTGCATGTTTACTTAGTGAACTGAACAAATTGTTTACAAGAAATTTAGAACCGAAGAATCAATTTCCACCGCAAGAATGGGCGTTGATAAGTTTTTGTTATGTTGTTATGTGTACGAGAATTAATAATTGCACGTAATACATCAAGTTTTAGTAAAATATCAAAGTGTGAAGATTCGAGTAAAAAAAGCTCGGTACGGAACGTGTTAACCGGAGACCCAAGATGGTCTCCAACTGTTTGCCGTCGGTTTGCCCTTTTCTCAAGGCCCTAGAGCAACGTCTTCGGAAATGGGGGCAGGTTGGGGGTGAAACCAATTAGGCTTCAAAAATGGGCCGAACAAAACTGACTCCACCCCGAGCAAGTCAACCTGCGGAACAAAACTTGTCGATACATTGCAGTCTTTCGGTAAGTCTCACGAGAGACGTGTCAAGTACTCTCACACAATTGTAAACCTGGACCTTCTGTAAATAAACTGCGTTGTATTACATTACGACACAGTTTGAGCCTTTTTTACAAATCAACTCCACCAACACTAAGTTGTCGTTGGAGGCGCAGCATCTGGAAGAGCAACTTTCAATCTGCGCACCGTGCGATATATTCGTACGGCCCTAACAAAAGTATAGACCTTAAATATAGAGCTATTAGAAAATATAGAGCCTTACAGTTATTGCAAAAATAGCTAAGCACATATTTTTCATAATTGAAAAATTTGATCAAAACACCTGATCAAAATTGATTATCGTATAGTGGAGAGCACAACATATTAGGGGAGGTACGAGTCTTCACTTTGCTGACTTCGCATTCGTTTAGAAAATAGTAATAATAATAATAATAATAGGTATTTCTGGTGGAATCGTAATTTTAATTAGTGCGTACAGTCACTAACAAAATATTTCAAATCGAAACTAGTTACAATATAACGTATTGTAGCCTTCATTAAAGACGGTATATCTCATCATATTGTAAATTTCCCGATTGTTTATACAATATAGACCTTCAAACCTCAGCAACTTCGTACAGAAAAATATATACGTTTTTTCGAGACAACATTTAATTGTAATATTACAAATAAGTTCTAGTCCTCTACCCTTAATTCGAGCTGTACTACGTCCGGATTCTTTCAGACTCATCAAATACATTCAAAACGTTTATGTAACATTTCACAGATCTTCAAACATCTGAAGAAAACTAACAAGAACTTTCAACATTTTCAAACACCTTCGAACTCTTTCAAATGTAACATGGTTTCCTTTCGAACATTGATTTTAATTTAAGATCTAGAGTCAGTATGTTACTTGTCTGTTAACAAATATATAATATTATGTTTGAATGTGTTCCATTGTTACAGACAACGATACGACGAGAGCATATGGCGTCCAATTTCGAATAGACGGGATCAGCTATAAGGCCGTAGCAAAACGCGAGGTCATTTTATCCGCTGGCGTTTTACAGTCGCCGCAATTGCTCATGCTATCCGGTGTCGGTCCGAAAGATCATTTAGACGCTGTGAAGACTGTGCACCATGCACCGGGCGTGGGTGAAAATCTGCAGGACCACGTGGCAATGGGTGGTATGACTTACTTTGTGGACCCGCTAGCAAATTATACAGGGAAGGACCCATTCACATTAAATTTGTTCGAGTCCGCCACCGTGAAAGACGTCGAGGAATTCGCCGTGGAGCGCAGGGGAAAATTATATGCGTTGCCAATCGCTGAGGCTATGGCATTTATAAATACTAAGTATCTTATTATAGTGACAAACAAGTACTTATGTTGGAGAATTTTTACGTTCAGTGATGGAGATTGGGAAATGCTATAGAACTTGGTTTAATTATAATAACAGCTCGTGGTCAACTAATGGCATTAGCATTGCTAACAGTTGTCCTGCATATGATTCGTACTTCTGAATTCATCATTTAATAATAAATAATTTTTCAATTTATAGCAATAATTCCTTCATTAATTGTCGGATTAAAATCTAGATTATAGTATAGATATTCACATACATATGTGTATGATATAGATATATGTAGATATAGCTTAGATTATAATCTAAATATATTGCCCATAAATTATTCGAAATTTTCACAGTCTTGAATAATCAAATTTAGTAGGAAACATGAGACTGTGTATTCAGACGAATTTGTCGGTATATTCAAAAATCATTATATTTAATCCTTTGTGCGGACGAAGCCGCTCGACGGGTATTGCGTCGCTGTGGACGACAGGTATTGGATATAAAATAAAAATGTTATAAGATATAATTATATTATTATAAGATTATAAATATGTGGAAAACTTTGCTGTTTTCTCTGGTAGCGACACAGAAAGACCGACTCGTCAAACTGAAATTCGTTCTGAGCCTACTGTTAAATTAATAAATCTATATTAATAATTAACACTTATGCCGTCCGCAGATCTGAGATATGATTCTTTTGTTTGACGTCGGCATAATAGCTTGGAAATATTAGATTTTAACAAAAATTTCGAAGACGGCGGTAATATAAATTCCTAAAATTAAGGTAAGTCATCCAAGAATTTTTCGTCTGTCACTTGACTGTCACTTGACTCAACATAAAACTCATCATCACTGCTGCTGATGTCACAAAATGTAACATCCTCCCTGCGTCTTTTAGACATAATGTTATAGTAGGGTAATTTTCATATATAATAGTCCAAATAATAATATATAAATATAATTAACTTTAACGAACGGCAAAAATGCTTGGGCTGCTGTCCGCAGACAGCCGTCCGCAAAGGGTTAAGCTACCCCTGATCTATTAAATTTCATTATTCAAATACAATTAAGTCACTGAAAATTTCGAATAATTTAATCAAGATCTATTTTGTGTCATTTATGTCGTTACCAAACTATTAAAGTAAAATCTTNGATCTATTAATTCATTATTCAAATACAATTAAGTCACTGAAAATTTCGAATAATTTAATCAAGATCTATTTTGTGTCATTTATGTCGTTACCAAACTATTAAAGTAAAATCTTTTAATATAATATAAGCTTTAGCTTATTAAATTCATTAAGGGAAGCAGGAAAATATTTACTTTTTCTATCATGCAATTCATGCAAACATTAATTTTGTGTAAAAATGCAGTCTAATAATTATTAATAACTCAATAATTACATTTTCCAGTATATGGTAGCTCTTCGTCCAAAAGAAAATCCACTATAATATAATATACACAAAATTAGAAGATGTTGAGTCATTATGTTGCTGGCTACTGTTCTGTTTATAAAACGGTGACTTTCAAATTTGACAGCTTTTGCTTACCTCCTCAAAGATAGGGATTATCTTATAGGGATTATCTTTATAGTGTAAACATGTTACCTAATCAACTCGATTCTTTCTTATCACAGTTTTGATTCGAAGTAACTTTTTCCTTCACTCCACGGACGCGATAGCGAGGACTACACTGCATTGCTAACGAGGACAGGACACCAGTCGTACAACCTCTCTAATAGGATAGGGTTATGTTATTTCAGGAATACCATTTTTCAGTGGTAACACCAGTTGTCAAACACCTTGTATAATCACTAAAAATTTTGTACCACTGTCTTCTCAACAAGACTCGACGAACTCTATAAATCCTCAAATACTTATCAAACAATTACGTCCTCTTCCTGCGTGTTATCAATAACAAATTCGTGTCAGAACTTATTACAAACACTATATTCACAGAATTATTCAAAAAATCCTGCTTCAGATACGCGAATAAAACGGAGGATCATGTGATATACAGTTCTTCATGTCAAGCACATCGGATAAATCCGGCGGCGATCTTTTCCTAAGTAGGGGCAGCAATTTGAAAAACGATTTCTCCGCGACTATATACGAGAATATAATCTAGAAAAATGCATGTAGTGGCTTTCCGCTTTTGCTAAGACCTCGTAACAGGGGGTACGTGAAATTGCGCTCAAGCAACGTGTACCAGCATCCGATCATCGTTCCGAATTATTTCCAGGATCCACATGACCTTTTGGTAAGTAGCCACTTAAACCCTTTGCGCACCAAAGTATTTTCTTCCTTTTATTTCTGAGTTTGCTATAACGTAATCCAAGCATACTCACGCGTGTAACTTCCCACTCTAAAGTAGAAGTACTATAATTGTTCTACGTACCACGTAATTGCGTAATTTGTTTATGAAAATAATGCGAATCATGAAAATAAAATATTAATGCGAAAGTAAATGTCAAGTCTGACTCACACAACATGGGAGCGCAAAGTCAGTACTCGAGAGAGTATTCTGATTTAGAAGTTTGGAAAAATCGATTTTATCTTTATTTTTATTTTTTGAAGTATATGATTCTGAAAATGTTTCTGCAAAGAATATTTTTCTATTTGTAAAAATAACAAGATCCCCGCGAGTCCCCAGACGCAGGCAGGCGTGGTCAACCCGACGCAAGCTCGATTTCCTTAAGATTCGTCGCGGAACGCGATACTAAGTCCGGGTGTCAGGAAATGTGTCCGGAAATGTGTTTCTCCACCGCTGACTCGGAAACCGGTGGGCGCGAGAAGATCTATTAAGCGGGATCTAGGTTCCGATCACGGGAATAGGGATGGGCAACCCGCACGGCCGGACGAATCTCGCGGATAGAATCACGAGGCCAAAAAATGGGCTTTAGATTAATATTTAATCGCGTCGATATTTACAGAATTGCGCAGCCTCGTGGCTACAATCCAGAGTCCGCGCTCTTTGTAGTGGGCGGAGGATGGTCATCCGCGCGCTTGTCGAGATTTCTTTACAATCTGGATGCCGAGCTCGGCTACGCAGCGCGATTGGCACGAAAGCACGGCGGCGGCCGTCGGAAAGGTGGCCCGAAACGCCGACACTGCGGGATTCCGGAGCTCTTCGAAATCGTCGGATTCGGATCCAAATCAGTTCGCGAACCGTACCGAAATCCCCGAGTTGATCGAACGCACGCAACATCGGCGATCGCCATGATATAATATGAACCATTTTGTTGAAAATTAAGCAAAAATCATACTATCCAGTGCTGTAAAACTACAAGGTCAGACAAAGGTTTTCGCAGTTTTCTTATCGTGTTAAAACGAAACAGTGTTATATTGTATATTGCAGTGCGATACGAGGATTACTACAATTTATCCTATCGTGTAAGAGCGAAACCATGTCATTGTTCAAAGGTGTATAGTCGTTTGTAGTCGTGCTATTTGTTGTAGCAGGACACTGGCGTGGGAATAACGACATCAATAAAAATTTCAGCACGCATCGAAATTACCGGGATGTACGGAAAGCATTTCTTAAATTTTCGTTGTAGGCTCAGATAAATTTGGTGGCCTTGAGATGTATGTCCGAGAAATGTAACGATGCGCCGTTGCAATTCCTCCACAGTTTTTTTCCGAGTTTTACACAAAGTTTTTTCTTATCTTATCTTAAACTTAAGTGTACTGCGAGATCGCCGGGTTCGCACCGTATATCGTGAGTCAAGTACACTCAAAGAGGGTACGAAGACGACCTTCTCAAACCGGGGCATATACATGTATAGCAACCCTCCATATCTTTTTTAAAGGAAATTTTCGGTATATAGACGGTCCAAACGCGACTAAATAGCGGGCTTACTTTTAGGTCAGCTACTGACGATGCAACGCTAGCGAGATTGAGTTTGATTCTGTTTTGAGCATTTCTACCAAANTACATGTATAGCAACCCTCCATATCTTTTTTAACCCGAGAAAGATAACGGGCAGAGGCGCCTGCGAAGACTGTTGATTTTTGTTAATTTTTCATAGAGGTCTAGTGATTTAAGTTTAAAATTACTTAAAATATAAAAAAATATAATATAAATGCATTTTATTTTTACAATAATGCCAAACCTTTAAAATGACTAGATTAACTTAAATAAATATCCATTGTTAGTATAAAATTGACGCCTTAGAAAAGCATGCGCCTCTGAAGCGTATGGTTATCTTTTACGTACGTTGTCATATGGTTATCTTTCTAGGGTTAAAGGAAATTTTCGGTATATAGAGGGCTCAAACGCGATTAAATAGCGGGCTTACTTTCAGGTCAGCTACTGACGATGCAACGCTAGCGAGATTGAGTTTGATTCTGTTTTGAGCATTTCTACCAAATTTAATTATTCCATTTCTAAATTCAAAACAGTAGTTGGTACAAACCCACAGAGATATACCTTTACCGCTCGAGGTGTATCATCATTTCTTCTTTGTAAAAGTTAGAAGGCCCGAAACTCTAATTTCTACCAACCTACCTCCTAGTGGTGATCCGGTGACGAAAGAAACATCGGCTAGTCCACTCAATTTCCTTTCATCAAAATTTGAAAATCGCATCCTACTACCGGCCATGCGAAGCTACCTGGCTCTCGGCTCGTAACATATGAGTTTCAGAGCCAGTATAAAAGTATTTCTATCCGCCATAATTATATAAGGCTTTACAATATAAGACTTTATAGACCNATCCGCCATAATTATATAAGGCTTTACAATATAAGACTTTATAGACCAGTTATGAAGTGTCTAATCGGATATCGGGAGACGAATTCGATTGGAGATTCATTTTGCAATGGAAACCTAGTTTTTATCTTGCAGGATGCATTATATTGCATCACGAGATGCTATGGATTCATGCAACTGTAGAAGTAAAAAGTGAAAAAATATCTGCGGGGGTGAATCGATTATGTATTTTCCATTTTTCTACTCTTTTCCATATGCGTTTGAACATTTTCAACCAAGGGATTTTAATTACAACGCAACTAATATTTCACAATAAAGCAGATGTAAAATTAAGGAAGACTTCACTTGTCGCTTTGTTGACTTCGCGTATATATGAAAGATACGAATCATCAAATTCTGTCTACTTCGACAGAAACGGGTTACACTTAATGATTTTAATTTTGAAATCTATTTCTCGGCTTATGGTGCTTGGAAATTTAATATTTAAAAAAAAATTTCGAAGATAGCGGTAATATAAATTCCTAAAATTAAGACATTTCATCCAAGAATTTTCGTACTTAATTCTTAATTAAATAAGCACAATGCAATCGTTAGTTTGCTGCCTTTTAACACCCAAAAAATATAGTTCAAATGTTATTTCAGTTTTTTAAAATGACATCAAAGTGGTACCACCGGCATACAACAGATAGTTTTTACGTGGCACCAGCGTGGTGCCACAGGACGGCATGGTGTTAATAGGGACAATATAATGTGTCGATCGAGATGTCAACAGCTGCAACAACGAGACTATAGTGCGAAGCTCTTCAACATGCTTTGCGGTGGGCATTGGGCAAATCCATGGGCTGAGAGCAAAGCTGCGAGGCGAAGCTACGAGCAAGCGACTTAGCGGAGTGGGGAGGTGAGAAAAAAAGGGGGAAGGTTTTCATGCTATTCTACCTCTCTCACTCGCACCCATTGCCGTTAAATGGAAAATGTTCGATGTTCATTCCATTTGTAGTTATGTGGAAAGGAGTCCCACGAAAAGCTAAGGAAGAAATAGTGTTGACTTCGGAAATGGGCAAAATAGCCCTGGATATAAAAACACTACCCTCACGGGAAAGTAGTTAAACAGGTCTGCAATAGTGCGCCGATCGACATGTCAGTAGGAGGTTGGCTCACGGCTCTTAGGATAGGGGCTACCTTCCTGTTTGAAGCGCGTATCGCCATTTTATTGCAACTACTGATCGTACTATTCAGACCAGACATTGCGGATCGTGAAAATAGAGTGAAACCCGTGTCGCCGCTAAATCTGCGAAATGAGTACGATTTCGTGGTGGTTGGAGCTGGATCAGCTGGATCAGTGATAGCCAATCGGCTGTCAGAGAATGGAAATTGGACGGTACTTCTGGTGGAAGCTGGGCCGGATGAACCGGAAATCTCTGATGTGCCTCAAACGTTTCCGCTTCTGCAATTGTCCCCTCTGGACTGGCAATTCAAAACTGAACCGTCGAAGAACTATTGTCAGGCAATGAACAAGCATCAGTGCAACTGGCCACGTGGCAGGGTAAAATTATTGATATAGTAATGTCCACGTTCAAAACATATCAAATCTGTATTTTATTTCGTTCAAGTATAAAGTTGTGAGAGTAATTCGACTTTGCTAAATCATACTTATCTTAGGAAAATGAGTGAAAGTAGTTCGTGAATCCATTTTTAAGTGGCATATGAATGACTCACAAATTCATCTTAACGATAAGATGTCGAGATCTAAAATTTATTATATATTTCCGACTGCATTGTAATATTTTGCCGTGACGTCGCTGAGAGCAAATCGCTTCATTGCGCTGTTAATATGAACCATTTTGTTGAAAATTAAAAATTGTATTTTGTTATACATACAGAATAAGGTAGAATTCAAGACTTCAATTACCGAGGGTAGCATTCGCTTGAAAAATAGAGCTACCTAATGTATGAATATTATGAAAGTAAATGTCTCTCGAGAAATTATATCTCAGACAATATCAGTTAGGTTTAGTTAGTTCTTTCATATTTTAATCGCGAAGATATGGCTATTTGCAGAGTTTTTATTTCCAATTGGAAAATGTACTCTACAATACTGATAACTACAATTAAATTCATGTAGTGCCTTGATTTTAAATTTCTTCCAGATAAATAATTCTAAACTATGCATTTTATGGCTTATATACATCTGCAACTTTATTCAATGATATATTTTATATGATATAGTACATGCAAAATAAGAGGGAGTTTAAGACATTGCCGAAAACAAATTTTCTTTCGTTCCGGGAACATAGATACTTAAAGTTACTGTAAAAATACCTAAGCACATATATATATGTTAGAAATGACTATGTGCGTCGGTGTTTCCACGTTGCTGTGTTTAGATATTTGCTGAAGTGTAGACAAGGGAACTGGAAAGAGTGCCTTGATGCGCTTATGCTCGCTGACTTCCTGGGACTGACTTGCAGTCCCTACTTTCTACCCCCGCCTGGGTCCCTTCGCAGACGGGGAAGGAACGCCTCCTACCCCCGTGCGTCTATCGCTTACGACGATGGTATCGTTGTATTCCAACACCCTTCCTCAACGATAGCCATATTTTCGCAATTAATCCTTAACTGATTAACCCGCAACAATCCGCAATATACTTTAACTTAATCCTACCTAACGGCTTAGTTAACATATCAGCTAACATCTTATCTGTAGGACAATACTTGTAATCCATAATTCCCCGCTCCTTTAATTCCATAA